AACTTACAAACTCCGAAATTCTGAAAACCCAAACCCTCAACCAAAACCTAAACCCCTAAACTAAACCCTAGACCCTGTACTACGACCCTTCGGCTTTCTATGAACTGATGGAGTTGACAAAGGGGCTCCTCTCGGATTGGCTCGGGCTCCAGTTTGGTCATAGCACCTTAAACCCTACCTTAAACTATGGTAACCTGCTTTGTGTATTCTTCTTCTAAACCCAGTAATGTGGCATTTGGAAGGACCCAACAAAAAATATCCTGATCACCCGTACAGAAGGGCGGCGGGAAACTCAGCAGCAAGTCGGTGGTACACCTCGGAGATGTTGACCTGGCATGTAACGGCTTGAGTTTCAGGGCTTAGGGTTAGGTGCTGCTCCGATACAGTAAGAGTCTATAATAGGGCTACTATTAAGGTCCCAATCTATCTATATGTTGAATATTATTCAACTATTACTGAGTGGGGGCCGTACCCAAGCTCAGGGCGTTTAGGGTCTTGGGCTTGGTGTCTGGGTGTAAGCAGTTTTGGGCTTCCGGTTTGGGTCGAACCGCCCATGAACTCCGGTCCCCAAGCCTTACATTTAGGCTTTAGGGTTTAGGGTTTAGGGTTAAAAACCCCGCCTTCACACAAAAAAGCAAAGAACAACCTAGCTTCTTTAATGAATGCACAGTGTCCAGAGCTGCCTCCTCAAAAACCCCTACCCCCAAGCTGAAAGCTTACACCCAGAACTTTGGCTATCTAGTTCGGAGCATGACACGTCAACTTTGGATGTTACCTTGGCTTACGTTTAGGGTCCGGGGTTCAATTCCAGGCTCGCTTTAAGGCTTCCAATGACGGTCAGGATTTTGGGGCTTACTACGGTTCAGACCATACAGGTTAGACTGGAGGGTTTCGGATCCAGGGATCATTTTGTTGGTGGAGTTTTTGGTTTGGGATTTCGGGACTAGGCATGATGGCTAAGGATGTAGGGAGTTGGGATTGAAATTTGCGGGGGGTCTGCCAGGCTTTGCATGTATTGACCTTTCGATCCATGCAGAATTCAATAACTTGGGCTTCGAAGGCTCTATGCCGCTGAAACCCTTACGCAAGCCCGAGTTCCCCAGATCCTCGAGATGGGGGTTTTAAGGCTTAGGCTTGATCTGTCTGTGCACTTGACCCTAAACCTTAAACCCCTAAACCCGGCTGCACATGTATTACCATGATGGAATAAGGTCCGACAAGACCATCCATAATATGGCTCTGGAGACCTAATTCCATAATGGTACTATCTATGGAGCCTCTGGGTAAAGGGTTTAGGGTTCAGGGTTTAGGGGTCTCGTGCGTGTGAGTCGTCGGTACGCTGCTGAAGGCGTTGAAGGAATATTTTCAACATCGGGCCCAAAAAGCATCCAGATGCCTTTCATTCAAGGCACTGTTTCAACGATTATATGACTCAAGACCATGAATGCAGCCAAGTGGTAGAAGACATGCATGATGAGGATCTGACAAGCTAGGACGTTTATCTTCACATAAACCCTGAATCCGTAAACACCAAACCCCTATACCCCGAAACCCTACACAATACACCCCTAAGACCTATAAACCCTAAACCCTACGCCAAGACCTCCAGCACAACGCGTGCCAGGGAGAACCCCGTGCCACCAGATCTGGTCCTGAGCCGTCTGGCTGCTTTTTGGGGGGGTTTAGGGCTTAAGGTGGGTTTAGGGTTTAGGGTTTAGGGTTTAGGGTTAGGCTCTTAAGGGTGTTTAGGGGTTCAGGTATTGGGGTTCAGAGTTTGCGGCCGTTAGCGGTTTGGGAGATTCAGGGCTTTTGAGTTTAGGGTTTGGGGCTTTAAGGGTTTAGGGTTTAGGTGCTTTTACTGAGCTTCTTTTCGCCCCCCTCCGCCCATCCTAGCTTGGGGCAATGTTACACCAGCAAGTAGAAGAACGAGCACGCAGATCTAGGCTACGAGTTTAGGGAGGCTCAAGGTACCCAAAGCTACCAACAAGCTTCAACTCAATCATATTCCTTACAGTAAAATCAGGGCCCGTTTCATGATCTAAGACATTCCAGCAGTAAACCATCAACCCTAAACCCCAAACCCTTACTTGGCTAATGAGGGGCTCGAGCTCATAGGGTGTAAAGTTCACTGGTCCACTTTGCCACCAGTGTTTCCGAGTCCATCTTCTGGTGGCATTTGGAGGAGTAGCATTCTGTGAAGTGGAGCTACCAATATCCCCCGTAAAAAAGGGCACCCCGAAAATCCACTCAACGTAGTTAATTCCTAATCACCACCCTAAACCATAAACTTTGAAAAGTGGTGTCGGAGACTTGCTCTTCAACCAGCGAACTGCGCACAACAGGCCTACGGATGCAACGACTGCTTGGTTGCAGGGCTCCCTAGGAAAGAGTTTAGGGCTCCCTACAAAAAAACACGTGCCTTCACTTAGAATCGTGCCAATAAGCTAATTACATGACAACTCAATTGAACCCAGAGCCCTACTGGCGATATCCAACGTCCAAGACCCCAAACCCACAAGAACAGCAAAACCCTTAGCTCAGCCGCACTGGGTTCACAGAGCTCGTGGTCCACTCTTGCAGTACGGCTTAGGCGGGCATCGACGATGCTTTGACCCCTGAACCCCCAAACGCTCTAGAGCCCAAAACCCCCAAACCGTTAAAGCCTTAACACTAAAAACAAAAACTGCTAAACTCTAAACCCTAAACCCTAAACCCTAATCCCTAAACCCTAAACCTTAAACCCTAAACCCAAACCCTACATCCCTAAACCGAATTCCCAAGTGCTAGATTCTACTCCAGCTGCCCGGGAAGAAACGAAGCAATACTCACTACAGCTCTCACGAAGCGACAGCTCCAAAAGCCCTGCTAAAACCTAATCTCTTAACCCTAAACCCTAATCCCTTAACGCAACCAGGGAGCTCCTCCAGCCCGACCTCTAAAAAATCATGGAGCAACAGACCCTCCGACCCTTGTGTGCAGCTGAGTAACCCTTATCATTGCATATCTTGCTTCTGAAGGCCACCTCAAAATGGGTAGTTCTCTAACTGAAATAATTAACCACAATCGGGCCCGGACTTTCACTGGTGGCGGCATTCGGTCCGCTTAACACAGCCTCGGCCGCCAGGCGTGTGGCGTCGAGGAGCTTAGTGTTGAAGGGTTCAGTGCTTCCGTTGCAGCCCGGGGTTTCAAGCTTTCCGATGGCTCAAGATCTTCAGATGGGTAGTTGTCAAAATTACGGCCCGTTTTGGGGTACCCTAAATATTGGGTACCGTACTATAATAAGGTCCCAAAAAGGGACCATAATTTTGGGAACCACTCAGATAAGGTTGTAGGGTTGAGGTTTGGGACTTGGGGCTGTTGGGGTTGCTTGATGTATGTTCTTCGAGCGGAAACATGAAGCATTCAGGGCGTAGGAAATCATTTTTTGAGCTAATTTACTGTTGTTGCTCATTTTATTATTATATATACTATGAATATACTTATTAACCATGTTATGAGAAAGAGTCGGGGGACTGACTCTACGGCGTGTATAAGGTCCTCGATGGTCCCGCGCAAATGCACGCACACCCTAAACCCCAGAACCCCAAACTCAACCTGAACTTGCAGACCGGAATTCCAAAAACGCTAGACCGACGTCTAATCTTAATCCCAAACCCAAAGCCCCAGAACCCAAAAGCCCCAAAAAATTGAAACTTTAAGGTCCCGGAACCGCGGTTCTCGACACCAACACCTTGATAGTTAGAACAGATTTTTTTGAGCGGGTAACTTATAGCATGCATGTAAATGTCTAGGAATAGTAGCGGTAATCATACGCACCCTAAACCCTAGACTCCAAACTTTTCCAAACCCCAATCCCCACATCTGAGAACCTTAAAGCATCAGCGATCGGAGAGTTTGAGTCGCAGGCCAGGAATTCGCAATGCATCGCAGCAGCATGCACAAACGTGAGATGTCGGGTTTAGGGGCATTTCTTTCGGTACTTCTTTCCGTCTAGAGGTTGATGGGATCTCGTGTAGGGGGCTCAAGATGCAAATCTCATGAATCAGGGCACGGGGTCCGGAGTCCTTGGTGTTGCAGAGCTGGCGTCTTCGGGTGTATTCTGCTGGAGGGATGCAAGCCACAGCTAGGTCTCATAGCTCAAGAAGCGACTACAGATGCCCCTGACATTTGTTGACAACCGTTTAGGTAAGCTCCCTTCCTGTGCGACCTCCAGCATATCTGTGGCGGGGCTGCTCCGCGATAAAGGCGTGGCAAGAGCAAAAAGCGACGCTGATTTCAATCCCCCCTGAACCCCAACTCATATTTTTGCTTATATACACGCTACACCTTAAAGCCTCGCCCCTTAACCTTAACTCCTAAATCCAAAGCCCCAAACTCGAAACCCAAACCCCTAAACCTTGAACTTCGAGACCTCACGAGCCAAAGCTCAAGCCACGACCTGCACTGAAGCAGGTCTCCTGATCCCTGGACAAAGCTCCACTGTTGTGCTGAGATCTTTCGAGTTTGGGGCTTAGGGGTTGTGGGGTTTTGGATTTACGGTTTACAAGGTTGCGGCACTATGGCTGTTGGCTCGCGCAGGTATAGACATACAACCTCCTCATGATTACGCTGAAAGTTCAGGCGCCTAGACTCTAAACCCTAAACCGCCGAATATACGGACCTGCATAATTGGAATATCCTTTATACTACAATTACAATAAGGAACCCCCCCAAAAAAATTAGGCCCCCATTTTGAACCCTTAAACCAAAAGCTGCAAACGAGACAACAGAAATCGGGCTCAGGGTCGTTTGAGGTTTGGTGCACGACGCTTGACTGTTTAGGGCTTAGGAGTTCAGGAGTTTAGGGTTCAGTTTTTTTTAAAGTGTAGGGCTTAGGACCTTAGGAGTTGAGAAGTTGAGGAGTTTAAGGTTTAGGGTTTAGGAGTTTAGGAGTTCACGTTTAGGGTTCAGTGTTTAGGACACACTCCAACTTCCCACCACATCCCCTAGATCAAGCAGTCCTTGGTCCACGAGTAGTTCGTGAAGTTGGGTTCGCCACCCTGGTGCTTCTCGTAGTAGGCACTCCTGTTGGGTAGGTTCCCAGACCCGCGGGAGCATCTAGAAAGTAGATCCCATTAGGGGCCCTATACTACTAAGGGGGATCTACTTTTTGGATCCTCCGGGGTCTGGGTTTTGCTGGGCGTCAAAAAACACTGCAACCTCGCTGGCCTGCACGTACCTGGAAAGATTGGATGCAAACCCTGCAACCCAAACCCTAAACCCTAGAGGCCCGAAGCCCTAAAGCCTGGACCCTAAGGCCTAAACCCTAAAGCCTAAAGCCTAAAGCCCAAACCCCTAAACCCCTAAACCCTAAACGCTGAGACCTGAAGCCTAGAAGCCTAGATCTCCACCACCCTGCCTCACTGAAGCCTAAAACCTGAGACCTAAAGGCCTAGATCCTATACTTGGCGGTGCATGGGTAGTTATAAGTGGGGGTATAAGTCTCCTAATGTGGGTTATAACTATGGTTACCCTACATATGACCCCACTTATAACTACCAACAAACCTCCAAGCCCGCTAGAAGTGTAGGCCCCAAAACCTTTCTAATATCCTTTTCGGTCATTACCCCTTACTTGAAGCCCGTGTGGTTGCGGCAGGCTGGGATTTAGCCTGCCATCTTGTGGAGCTGACAGTGTACAACAGAAACAACAGCAGGAACAGCAGCAACAACAACGGAAAAACAGCAGCAGCAGCAGCAGCAGCAGCAGCAGCAGCAGCAGCAGCAGCAGCAGCAGCAGCAGCAGCAGTAGCAACAGCAACAGTAAACGCAGCCAACAGGCAAAAACAAACGACAACAAACACCGAACAACAAACGACACACGACAACACAAACAACAGACCGAAACCGCAAACCACAAACAACAAGCAAGAAGCAACACATAGCAAACAACAAACCGCAAACAACCGACAACAAGCAGCAAGCAGCAAGCAGCAAGCAGCAAGCAGCAAGCAGCAACCAGCAACAGCACAGCAACCACCACAACAGCAACACAAACCCTAAACCCCTAAACAGCAATAGCAAGAGCCCGCTGGCCTCAGCACGCGCAGATCCGAGTCCAGATCCCAGCCCTGGAAAGCTCAAGGTGGAGTCGGATTAATGCAGGGGCCTTTGTATTTAGAAGACGGTTTCCTTTAAAGGGATCCTTGGCAAGGGGTCCTTTATAAGGGTTACTATAAGGGCGGGCCTTGGGCTCCTTTATAGTATAGGGAGAATAAGGAACCCTAAGGAATATTATCGGTAATTAGAAATTAAGGTTCCTAAGGGTTTAGGTTTTCGGGTTCAGGGTTTGGGGGGGTTAGAGTTCAGGTTTTAGTGTTTTTTGTGCCTAACCCTCGTTACGTAGCCCTAGACTTTGCGGAGACACATCTGCCCCACACCTGGACCTCGCCTACCTCGACCCAGAGCACCTAGGCCTAAATCCTGAACCCTTAAAACCCTAAACCCCTAAACCCTCAACCCTAAACCCCTGAAACCCTAAACCCCTAAACCCTTAAAACCCTAAACCCTAAACCGTGAAAACCCTAAACCCCCAAATCCTAAACCCCTAAACCCTAAAACCCTAAACCAAACCACTACAAAAACCTCTAAAAGCTGAGGGTGTGGGATTTAAGGTGCAGCGCTTCGGCTGCTAGGCCTCATAGGGCTTCGGGGTAGCCGGAACCTTACAACCCGACAGCCTTCCTAGATATGGAGGTTTCAGAAAATTAGGGACCCTAAAATAGTAGGATCCTTGTTATAAGGACCCCAAAATAAGGTACCCCTAGTTTTCGGAAACTCCCATATTACGCAAATATGGATCAGACGAAGACTACTGCGTATGATAAGCATCTCAAGATGTGAGAGCCGAATGAACACTAGCAGTAGCAACAGTTGCAGTGACAGTAATACAGAAAACTTTCTCTGTTGTAGCTATGGGCAGACACGACACTGAAGAACAAGCCCGAGCTCAAAACTGTAGTCCGCCGGCCCCCAGACCGGGACGATGCTTGAACCCCAAACCTTAGATCCTGGGGCCCCACATCCAAACACCAAGTGACCCTCTTCTGTGCTTCTACGAGAACGAGCGAACGAAACAAACATCAAAATACTCAACCATACAACTCTTGAGTTCTTGAACCTGAAGCACCCGAACCTGACACCTTCAACCCCAAAACATCAAGCGCTCAAGCCTAAACCCTTAACTTCCAGGCCCCTCTCTGCAACCGTAGGGCCCAAAAACCCAAAACCCCTAAACCCCCAATGCCAAAACACTAAGCCCCAAACACTAAACCCTAAACACCAAACCCCAAAACCCCTACACCCCCAAAACCAAAACCCCCTAAGGCCCTAAACCCTGAACCCTAAACACCAAATCCCTAAACCCCTACACCCCCAAAACCAAAATCCCCATAAGCCCTAAACCCAAACCCTAAACCCTAAACCCTAAACCCTAAACCCCTAAGCCCTAAACCCTAAGCCGCACAGACAGCAGCCTCGCAGGGGCCAGGATGGTCCTGGTGCTCCTGGCTTGCTTGGGAGGTTTAGGGGCTTTAGGGTTTAGGGTTTAGGGTTTAGGGTTTCGGGTTTAGGGTTTTTAGGGTTTCGGGTTGGTTTAGGAGTTTTTAGGGTTTCGGGTTAGGGGTTTGTTTGGTTTCGGGTTTAGGGGCACAGTGTAAGGAAAGTTTGGGGGATCTATTTGTTCATGAAAGTTTTAGGTGTAGTGAACTTAGGAAGTAAGGCTGCAAAAACGTCAATAAGGTTGTCTTTGAGGCTTCTACAGGGTCTCAGGGTTTAGGGTTCAGGGATTATACAGAGGCGGGGGACTGGCATCAAGGAACAGGCATTGGGGATGCGAGTGTCGGGAATAGGGCCTACGGCTTGCAGTAATGCAGGGGCCTTAATAATTAGGAAAGGGTTTGAGGGGGGCATATATTCTACTATAATCAGAATAGGGAATCCCACCCAAAAAAATACTTTCATGGTGATAATTCAAGCTCCTATATTATATGTATATAACAGCCTTTACAGCAGCCCTTACAGACCCCTTTAAGGGAACCCTGGGGCCGCTTTCGGAGCTGAGCTGCGCGCCCATCGATCTGATAATCAGTTCTGAAGACTATCTTAAGGTGTAGGGTTTAGGCTTTAGGGTTTAGGGTTTAAGCTTTGGGGTTTAGGGTTTAGGGTTTAGGAGTTCAGCACACCCCCAGACCTTAATCTCTGCATGGGATCTCTTGCTTGCACCGGCTCGTAGCCGGCTGGCATTCAAACCAAAACCCTTCCGGGCTTAATTTCATTTTTAATTTCGCGTTTAGGATTTAGGGTAGCGCCTGACTGTATGTCTGGCCCCCAGAACAGTCTCGCGGCCGATTGCTTGGAACGATCTTCTCGGTCAGCACACGCATGGTGTTTGGAGCATCCCGTCTATAAAGGCCTACTTGGAGGTTCATGGGTAGTTATAAGTGGGGGTATAAGTCCCCCAATATGGGTTATAATTATAGTTACCTTACTTCTAACTGCACTGCTCACCGGCCGCTCACTCACTGAAGACGTCTTGAAATCCTAAACCTTAAACAGCCCAAAACCCGAAACCCTCCATCCTGAACCCGAAGCCCCTACGTATTCAAGACCGACTTCTGCTTGTGCATCGAAGACACTTGCTTGAAGCGTTCCAAGGCGTATGAAACAAGAAACTAATTACGTCTTCGAGCGACTAGAGGGTTTCTTCCATTACAACATATTCCGACCTCCACATGGGGGTCTCCGAAAATTGGGGGAACCTCATTTCGGGGCGCTTATAACATGTATCCTACTATTTAGGGTACTATATTATGGTCCCCCATTTTCGGAAACTCCCACATTGCCCACTCATTCCAGGAACCCCTCGGGGCACTTCGACTCGAGCATGCTCTTTAACTTCAACCCTAGACAAGCCCCTAACTTGAACATCCCTAAACCCCAACCCAACCCCCTAAACCCCAGCCCCTAAAACCCTAAACCCCAACCCTAAACCCTCAAACCCTGAACATTAAACCCTGTGGAAGCCTCTGGGAGAGAGCCATTCGTGAGGAGAATATAGGGCGACGAACCAGGCCTCAGTGAATTGAGAGCAGCTTCACGTGCGCCAAGTACAGGGGCCTAAATATCTAGAATACGGCTTTGTGGTACATTTTGATACAATTGTAAAGGGCTCGAAGGGCATACTACTACTACTACTACTACTACTACTCCTCCTACTACTACTACTACTACTACTGCTACTGCTACTGCTACTGCTACTACTACTACTACTACTCCTACTCCTACTCCTACTCCTACTCCTACTCCTACTCCTACTCCTACTCCTACTCCTACTCCTACTCCTACTCCTACTCTACTCCTACTCCCTCCTACTCCTACTCCTACTCCTACTACTACTACTACTACTACTACTACTACTACCTACTACTACTACTACTACTACTACTACTACTACTTCTACTACTACTACTACTACTACTACTACTACTACTACTACTACTACTACTACTACTACTACTACTACTACTACTACTACTACTACTACTACTACTACTACTATTTTTTCAATTGAACGCTGCGCGAGCGTGCTCTGCGCTTTGCGGGCGCCTTTGGTCTCGTGCACTCGTGAAACTGCTTCTAGCATGCATCGCTCATACCTCTCTAATCAGCTCAAGCTACTGAAAACTACAGCTACAAAAGCTTCCTCCTCCGACGCCTTGGTGTGAACAGACGCGTCCATCTGTGCACCTGTCACAACAATTAGGCCGTACTTCAGACGAAGCCGACACCTGGAGTATCCGTCTCGTGGCGTCCCACACGGATTACTCATGTTGAAGACTGAAGGCCGTAAGGGTCATGTGCTCATGACCGCGTGTACCTGCATGCATCGCCGATGGAATGGCTGTTGGCAACTTGGACGTGGGCAACTCTCTGATGCAGTGATGTGCTGTTTGTAAGCGACTAGCTCGCGGTTCACAGGCTTCCGAAGAGATTTGCTAAGCGTCGGAAGAGGTCCGAATTCCCAGAGTCTGTGACATAGGGGATCAAAAAGTCTGTGACATATCTCTACCCTCACTGGTCGTGACCTTTTGGCCACTGCTGGGAGTAGCTGTGCCAGGACCACTGCTGCCACCAGTCCCAGTCGTCCTCTTGGGAGGAGCGTGCCTGCCTGGCCCACTGGGTCGAGGATGAAGAGGAGGGGGCATCGCGCTGACGCTTGCCCTCTGTGTCAGCCTCTTGCATCTGTGGGCGCTTGTTAGGCGCAGCAGCAGCCAGTTTGGCCATGCGCTTGTCTTCCTCGTGCCCCTTGTCATGCTGAATCCGCATCTTCATGATGGAGTAGGCATCTTTGTTGGGTTTGACCCTGAAGACACGAGCTGGGAGTCCGGCTGATTTGGCCGTCTCATTGTAGACTGCCACGATGGTAGTGGCGATCATGTTGAACTCTACCCACGAGGGGAAGTGCTGCTGAAAGTCCTTCTCGTCCCACATCTTGTTGAAGCAGGCATGGATAAGGCCATGCACCTTTGTGGGGGCATCCAGCTCGCGATAGGCTCCTCCCGAGCCTGTGGCTATAGTGACCTTCCCATCGCTGGTGAGGACCCGCCTCACCGACATGGCGATGTCCCATGTGAGGCCTGTTTGTGTCCTTACTGACTTGATGGCAGAAAACAGCGGAGGTACCTCGCGGAGTGCGTCCATCCTGGTAGACCAGAGGGTCTGCTGCTCGTGGTTGGTGAGGCCTCCGAGAATGACGGGAGCCACCAGGATATTGATGGAAGCCAAGGCCCGAATCCAGTCCTGGTGGGACTGGGAGCTCAGCAGTTGAGCCAGCTCCTGCCTCGTGTATCGTACTGTCTGTTGTGGAGCCGGCTGTGGAACATAACCAACGGGTGCCGCATTGGTTTCCGGGGGCTCATATGCTGACGGGGGACGGGAGGAAGGAGGAGGGGGCGTGTGGGAGCGCGTAGCGGCCAGGGTGGCAGGGGCAGGGGAAGAGGCAGACTTGGGAGGGTGCGGAGGGATCGGGGAAGCAGGGATAGCCGGTGGGGGAGCAGGTGCTGCCGAAGAGGAATTCTCCGGAGGCTGGGGGCATGGGGTGGGCACCGTGGACGGTGGGGCCTTAGCCGGAAGCGCTGGGGCCGCCTTCGGTGCTTCCACCTGGCTTGCCTTGAAAGCCGCCTTTTCGGCCGCTGTGGAAGTGAAAGGGCAGGGGGGGGAAGGCGGCGGCTCAAAGCCGGCTGCTTTGTCTGATCCTTTAGTCCTGGTGCTGCTGGGTGGGAGAGGAATCTCCTGTGGATGCTTTGGGGGAGGGGGAGGAAGTGGTGCGAGGGTTGCCGACATGTCGCTTGGTGCCGCAGGTTGTGACACAGGGTCATGCTTCTGCGTGACAAAGTGGTTTTTGAGGCCGTGGCTAGTGCTGAACTGGATCTGTCGGTTATGCTTCCGGCAGTGGAGGCAGCGCAGCCACATGGAGCCTGAAACCTCCATTTGTCCCAAGCCGCGAGGGATGAGCTCCAGCACATCCTGCTCTGTAAGATCTTGGTTATAATGATGGGTCTCGCGGACTGTGGCCATGAGCGCCGCAAAGGAGTTGTGCTGGATGCTGTCTGCCACATAGGTTTCAATGTCCTCCTGAGTAGGAGGAGGAGGAGGAGCTGATGTGGCGGTTGCCGTGGTCTGTGACCTAAGTGGCTGAGGTGAGCTGTGCTCTTCAGGTCGATCGGACTGGATTTCCAGGGAGATGTCGGGAAGCTGGCTCTGCAGCATGCGATCGGTTCGTTCCTTGGTGGTGGGGTCTCCCTGAAAACCCTTCATCCACTTCCAGCACCTGGTGTAGGCGACTGTCGTGTTGTTGGCTGTCACAAAGTAGTGGCCATCGTTGTCATACTTTTTGTTCTTCACGCGCTTGTCCCAGCGCTCCGAGAACAGGTAGATGGGGCCAAACTTGGCGGAAACATTCCAGCCCGCTTGAGGGGAATGACCAAGGTCTCGACTCAAGATCTGGATCATGTATTCCAGGTTCGCCTTCGCTGTCATAACCTGACGGCTGAAGGCGTGCTGTATGGCCTCCCTCATCAAAGGGTGCCTGGGCTTGCCATAGATGATGCCTTGAAAGATGTGATCTCCTTTGACTCCGATGGCCATGACCATGAACTCCTTTGGGAGTTGGCCAGGTGGGGAGGGTCTGTGACCCACTTCACCTGCCTTCGTTGAGTGAGCTGTGCTCCAATCTGCTGCCATGAGCTGCAGTACCTGTTCCCAGGGTACCACAAAGCCACATTTAATATCGACATAGAGGCCGCCGTGCTGGTAGTGGTAAACGTAGCGGAACACGTCGGCTCTATGAGCAGGTTGACTGAGGCGGTCCAGCAGATTGGAGCCGTACTTTCCGGCAAGTTGCCGCAGGGTAGCCCGAAGGATACCATCGTCACAGAATTTGCGGGTGAAGCCTGCAAACATTTTGACCGCAACTTGGGCGGGCTCCGGCTTGTCGTCGTGGACATAGGTCTGAAAGAGGAGGGCCGGGACGGGGGCGGCCTCCCATTCTGGGAGATGCATGAAGCGCATACCCCAGGGGCCATGTCCGTACTGCATGGCTACTTCCGAAAGATCTCGGACAGTGCGGCATTGTGACAGAGCCTGGGCTGCCAGCATTTCGACATGCATGTCCTGCTGGCGAGCATTCCAGCCAGCAACCACGAGGACAGGCAGTCCTGGGGTGTTGCGCATTTCCTCGATGGCTCTTGTGACAAGTGCCGGGATGACGATGTCCGCAACATCAGGGCGGAAGTGGAGATTTTTGGAGTTGTAGAGCCATTCTACCCCTCCAACTCCAGGTATCTGTGCCAAATCCATGATTTCCTGATTTGGCAGGTTTTTGTCCGCAAAACCATATTGGACCCTGCCGTCTATCAGGTAGTCATAATTGACTTGCTTCTCCGGGCGCAAGCTTCTTGACAGCGGAATAAAGCGAACATTGATTTGTCCGTCAAGGTGGCTCTCCAAAATGGAGGCCACCGGCTGACTCTGAACCGCCGCCTTGAATTTGTGCGGCCCAAAGAGGCCAAATTGCCAGTGGAGGAGCTCCATGATGGAGGGGACGCTGCTAGCAGAAATATTGAGGGCGGCGCCTGGACAGCTTAAGACCTGTCCCGTCAGCAATGGGAACACTCCGTACGTATGTCCCCGCAGCATGTGCTGCAAGGTGCTATCGCTGAGCACCAGAAAGGGTCCCAAACTGGGAGGGGTGTCCATGGTCTCAGCTTTAGCTGATGGGCCAGAGTCTGTGACACGCGGCCAAGAGGTGAGCTGTGCTCTTCGCGGAGTCTCAGTTTGTTCTGAAGTCTTAGCTTCTGCAAGGCATGTCTAAAGAGCAAAGCTGCTATGCTTCTGCTGTTGCCTACTGTATCGGCAGTTCGAACTGACAGCTGCGGTATGCATGCACAGCGTTACAGAGTCATATGGCCAAGCACGAAGCTCAGGGCGACGCAGAACGACTGGAGACAAAGCAACAACAGCAGAGGGCACGCGAGCAAGGACTGCTGGTGCCATGTGGTAGCTGGGGCCTCGGATTGCAGGATAGAGCAAGCGATAATGCAGCAGTAGCTTGGTTCAGGCATGCTGCAAGAGCAATTTCTCAGGGCAGGTAGGCAACATATCTCGAACAGTGACTAGTTGAGTGGCTGTGCCACACCTAAGCGGAGGCTGTGCCATATTCCTAGCATGAGTCGATGACATTCCTGTGGCTCACAAGTTCTCAAAGGAGACTGTAGTAGTGGTCAGAGAGAGCACTGTGAACCTCTTCGCCCCTGCTGATTGTTGCTGCTTGCCCGTCTTGGTTGAAGGGGTTCAGGAACTTCTGCACCACGACGTGCTTGCTGTGCTGAATGTGGATGGTGAGCTCTTCGGACGCGAGGTACCACTGGGGCGTGTCAAAGGACTGGACCATGACGCGTAGGTCAAGAGACATTGCTGCCCTAGCCGTGCGGTAGGGACTTACAAAGAGCTTGTGCTGAACCAGGGGGAGCACTGCTGCGCACCAGGTTCTGCTAACCGACGCCATTGAAATGGCCGTCAGCAAGTCTGGTTGCAGTATCGCCAGTCTGACATGAGCGCCCTGCCGGTCGTAGTCCATGTCAACGTACCGTTGCACGAAGACAGCCAGGCCATCATATGGGCGGCGGGAGGCCCAGAGGCGTGCTTGCTCTTGGATCTCGTCCCTGAGCTGCAGGATGGGAATAAGAGTGCTGGGGGGCCTATATGCAGCGATTTCAGTCTCCAGCATATCCCTGTCCAGACCGGAGTCCGAGTAGAAGTCCACAATGACCGCACCGGGAATGATGAAGGAGAGAGCGCGGCGACATGATTCGGTGCAGAGAGAGGATGACATATGCTATGGTTATGGCTGGACGGCTGAGAGCAAGCCGAGAAATGACTGCGGAGAATCCTTCCTTGAGCACTGACCGGTGAGCTGCAACGCTGCTCGGATTTGCCTTTTGAAAGAGAGAATCGGCGCGTCTCATGGTCTGTGACCAAGTGGCTGGAGGCTGTGCCATCTGACCTAAAGAGGGCTACGCAAGACAGAAGTCGGAATGAAGTTCACCTGCTCATAGTGGACGCTTATGGCCTCTCTCGAAAGGGTGCCAGCTTGATCCGGCAGAACTTCAATGAACACTCCTGCTCCTTGCTTGCGCAAATGGATGTAGGCTCTCCACACCCCTATCCAGGGTTTGCCGTCTAGGAGACGAGCAATTTCGGAGTACCACGCACGGCAGACCGCCGCGAGCCGTATAGCCTGTAGCAGATTCAGATTGACAATGCCGAGCTGAGCATGCACTCCGTTGTGGTCGATCCTGAGTGTGTCGCCAACAATGGAGTACTGCGAGAAGGGGCTCGTTCTGGCCCAACGTAGGAGTAGATCCTGTAGCCGATCACGAGTTGCACGAGCTTCATCATGCAGCAGGTCCAGATCGTTCCAGTAGGAGTTGGGGTAGGGCGAGGCGTCGTAAGAGTCAAGGGTGAGTACCCCTGGTAGAAGATGTATCATAGCGTGGCGCAGGGAGAGCCCATCCATGGCATTGAGCGAGTCTCTTAGAGCCAGCTGACAGAAAACTGGCAGGCAAGGGGCGTGCCGAGGAATGAACGTGACTCAAAGCGCACACCCTACGAACTACGACTTGTCACGGAATATGCCCAGTTTTCAAGCCGAGAGCACTGTTGCTGGCTGCAAAAAGTTAGACTCCTTAATGGCACGTTTAGTCCTGTTGCTCGGTCTCATTCTGCAGGGCATCATAGCTGTCAAAGAGGAGCGCATGCCAGGCGTTAAAGCCCGAGGCGCGGTAAGCGGCTGCGGGAGCAGTGCGAGTCAGGAGAAGTGAGTTTCTCGACCGGCAATCTGAACGCCATCGAGACCGGAAGGTAGAAGATGTCCTGGCCTTCGCGAACCGACACTGAGCCTGACTTTCGCAAACGTGACATCGCCACCAGAAGTTCCACTGTATTGATGCGGGCTTGACCAGATATCATGTCGGATATGAGGTCATGCCAGACTCGATTAACAGTGGCAAGTCGTCGGACTTGAATAAGACGCGGCTGCGTGACCTCGTAGACAAGATGCATGTCCTTCGGGTCCTGCGTGTCTTGCGCAGTTGGGGGGATGTAGGTGATGGAGAGGGCCGGCCAGTGATTGAAGCACTCTTGAAGAAGTTTCAGGAGGCCCGTTCTGGCTGCTGTCAGGCCATCCCTGGTGGTGAGGCCTTGTCCTGTAAGGCTGGACTGGCTGCTCGAGTCATCGATGGCAGTTCTGTCCAGGTCCGTCAGCTGCAAGTAGAAGTCGAGGCTGAGGAGCATCGGCGTCAGGAAGTGAAAGATTCGCTGAACGAAGGCGTCTTCCATCAGTACAGGCAAGTGTATGGAGGGCAAAGCCAAACTTATTAGAGCCAAGAAGTACTGAAGAAGTGCAGTGACGTTGTCACAGCGGTGCAGATACTGCACGTGCTTGCGTACCTGCTTTAATCTCAAAATACGAGCAGAGATGGTCAGAGACTGTGTCTCAGCTCGAGAGGCTGTGCCATTCGTTCTAACTAGTCATCTGTGGTACCTAGCGGGAGGCGAAAACCCAGCTCAGTCAGGCGCTGTTGCAGCGTTGGTGAGAAACGAGAGGCTCCTCGTACCGTGTAGGCCGCCAAAACGACTCGAGTAAAGGTTTCCCACGGTTGAGTTGCATGCCATAACACATCCGCCCGGAAGGAGAGGCTAAGGCCGCGGAGGTCAAAGCAGCTTCCCCGGATCATCCCCTGCTGGTTTGGGATCTCCTGGTAGTCACAGCCTTCAGGGTCTTCAATCCAAATGCCGCCATTGTCGCAAATGGAAATCGGGATGAGCAATGTACCCAAGGCTGCATTGTTTGCGTCTTTGTGAAGTGGAGAGTGCACATCGACCAAGACCTCGAGAGAAGTCCACTGGTGTTCTGGACGGCATGAGTACACGAAGGCGTTGAAGAGCCGAGTGACGTTGGGGTGGGAGATGGTCTCCTTTAGCAGGCCAGGAAGAACGCGGCAGACGGCCCCGACCCGAAATCGCTGTCCACCGGAAGAGCCAGCCGCACGAGAGGTGCACTCCCATCTGTCGTGGGGTTCGAAGGGTAGGTACTGCAGAACCTGACGGACCGATGACCAGATGGAGAGACAGCGAGAAGTGATACAGCTGCTCGCTATCTGCTCTGCTTTGGGTACCATGTGTGACAAGCCCCCATGTGGGATGGGATTAATCAGGTAGCCGTCCTCTGCCTCTGAGCAAGCCATGGTAGTCATTGAATCGAGATAGGTCTCGAATCGCTGCCACTGCAGGGGTGGAAGAGCCTTGTATGCCCATGCCGTGATGTCATTGTAGGGCCATGTTCCTGCTGCCAACGGCAGGGACACTTGGGCCTCCTCACAGTACAACTTTAACGCCGAGAGAGTGAGGTAGTCCTCCATGTAATCTGCGAAGATCGCAGCGGGGAAGGAAATGGCCCGGATTGGGCCGTCATCCTCGCCGACCATTGGCACTAGCGCAAGCGGTGAGCCGGTAACCGATTCTAAGCCAAGCTCTAGCAAACGGTAGCTGGACAGTGCTGGCAACTGCGCTCAAGACATATGCTCAGGTTTTTCCCGGGCTAAGGCCAGCGCAGTAGGCATTGGGTCGGAGTCTGTGACTCAGGTAGCTTTGGACTGTGTCCTATTCCGCGACGAAATGGTTACAGTAGCCGCATGGCGGAGGCTGTGCCATATGCCGCTAGGGTGGACTGTGCTACTACTACTACTACTGCTACTACTACTGCCACTACTACCTATTATCGCGACCACGGTCTGGAGGAGTTCAGGGTGCTTGCTGTCTTGCGAGCTTGGACTTTCTGTTTAGGCTGCGGATGCGGTTCCTCCCAGGGCTCTCTGGCGAGCCCCGCAGAAGGTCTTATACATTTCGGGTTTGGGGTTTAAGGGTCCCTGCCGCAAGGCTCTTCCTCTGTTTCTGCTTGCATCAGGCTGACCTGACTTGGTCTACTTGGAGGTTCAGGGGTAGCTATGTAAGTGGCTATAAGTAAGGCAACTATAGTTATAACTCATAACTACCCCTGGACCTCCAAGTAGCCAAACTCGAAGCATCCAGAATCCTAAAAGCCAAGCAGCCGAAGCATGGGACAGGGCTCTAGGTTTAGGGTTTCTGCTCTGCTGTTGTCGGAAGCCTTCCCTAAATGAGGAGCACACTTGGGATCCCAATCCTCAGGCCCTCGAAGAGGCGGGGTCTGCAAAAAGCTATCTAACTCTTCGTTTTGGGTGCTGGGCCCTGAAAAGACTCATAGGTTTCGGGGGTTTCCACGCCTGCCCAAAATTTCGGAACCCTCAACCCTAAACACCCGAAAAGTGTTGGATTTAGGCGCAGCACCGGAAGTTGAAGTCACCAGCGAGGATGAGGGGTAGGTCTCCTGCGAACCTGAAGGCACAAGACCCAGGATGTTTCGGGCTTAAGGCTTGAGGTAAAAGCCAGAAAGTTGGAATATGATTATCCTAACCCTTCTATGGTAAATTACAGGGTATCCTACCATTAATCCATATTCCAACTTTCTGGAGTTCCCTATAAGGAATAAGGAAGTGCCGCACATGCGCCCTAAACCTGAGGCGGAAGACTCCAAAGCGCACTGGGCAGCCAGGGACGCATGGATGACCATCACCTGCATTTTTTTGGGAGGGCCGAGTCCCGTCTGCAGAAGGGCCCAGGTCGTGCTTTGTGGAATTCAGGAAGGGCTGATGGATTCAACTATACCCCCCTTAGAACCCACAGTAAAAACAATATGTTTAATCTTCTTTTGGGTTATATATATATATATGAACAAAAATGCAAGTAATTCCTAAGGAGACTAATATAGTTCAGATAAATGCCTTGGACTATGATTTTTGCCTGGTTGTGTTGCATTTGAAAAAACCTACCGGGGCTCTACCGTGCTGGAAAACTGTACAGTGTCTGGGTCGCAGAGTTTGTCCCTGAGTTTCGCCAATAAAAATTATGAGGTTTAGGGTTCAAGGAAGCAGGTAGTAAAGGGATGCATGAGCTCTGGGATGTAAGGGGTAACTTGTGACCGAAAGGATGTTGACAGTCACGTCGGGACAAGTAAAACTTGAAAAAAGCCTGGCATAGGCTCCACGGCCCTTAGAGGTAGCCCTTAAGGGAACCTTAAAGGAACCCTCTGAGGGACCTCAAACTCCTAAACATTTCAACAGGATCCCTTGAAGGGGCCGCTGGCCATTGCTTCTGTCGTCTTCCTTGCTTAACACAGTGGCTGAACCTCAAGGGCTCATATAATAATTACCAATATACCATTGTGGCGGGTCCTTGTTCTACTTATAGCATAATGGTCCCCAAAACCCTGCCCAAGGCTGTTTTAAGATGCGAAGAACTGTTCCAAACGATGGAAAGCCTCCCACCATGGCATGAGATTCACCCCTGAACTATAAACTCACAACGCCTACTTTGGGGAGGGGGGGCTTAATTAGTAGAAAGTTGGGTTTTAAGGCATAGTAGGTGGTTCCCTCCGCGGCCGGACTTTCAGATTGACTGGTACCTAAACCCTATACCGTAAACCCTGTTGATGGTGTAGGGTTTTGGCTGTAGGACCCTTGAGCTTACGGAGGGTCTGTCGTGTAGGGTTTAGGATTTAGGCTTTGAATTTGAGGTTTTGCGGGACAAGTATCCAGCCTTCATGTCACGAAAAAGGCAAGGCATGTGGTAGGTGGACACCTCGGAATCTGCCAGAACTCAGCCTACTTCTTGGGCCAACCTCGGACCAGGCCTATGAATGTTGTTGACACCCGTTTTCGCTCCCGGTTATGTCCAAAGCCGCTTGGAATTAACGCTTGGAATGTCGCTTCGCTTGTCCCCCGAAATCCCAAAAGCCCCGAGCCCTTACTTAACCCAATACCTAAACCCCAAACCCTAAACTCTAAACCCTAAGCCCTAAACCCGGTCACGAGGCCTGACACGCAACCCCTGATCTGAACCGATCCCTGGTGCCCGGAAACAAGTACAGTGCCAATCTCCGAGCCGGAGCAGGATTCCCCGCAAGCCGCCACCCTGTTCTTGGAGGTTCATGGATACTTATAGGTGGAGTTATAAGTAGGGTAACTATAGTTGTAACCCAGAGTAGGGGACTTATACCTACCCATGAACCTCCAAGTTGCGTTCGAAGATTGAACTTCTTGAGAGATCGTGGCCCAACACACTCAAGCCTTCATCCCACGCAACACACTCAGGCCTTCACCCCACTCCAAGCATGAATCCATAACTTGGGCATAGGCCACGAAATCTTTGTCGGCATAGGTGGTACCCCGTGGCCTCCGCAGCACTTTCGGTGTGGGGTTGGATAACATGTCGAGCTACAGGTACCCGGAAAGGGATCCATATCGGGGTTCTGATTTTTGTAACAGTTCAAGCTAGCTTGAGGAACGATAGCCGCTAAACCTTCCAACCCTCAAACCCTGCGATGTGGTGTGACGCTTCAATTCAAGCTTCGGAGCTTAGAGGTCTCTAGGACGATCTACAAACCTAAACCGCTGGACCTGTCCAAACTCAAGCCCTGCGGTGACTGGATGCATTTTTCTCAATCTCGGCGGCAGGGGTCAGGCAGGAACGACTGAGTTGTAGTGCTCACCGAGGGCATAGTAGTGACCTCACAGATCGATTCTCGGCTGACAAAACCAGAGATGCGTAGGTGTGAGGGTCTTACGTTCTTGGTTCAGGAAGGTGACGTAACTGATTGCGTCTATCACCTCAATGCAGACGAAATACATCAGATATTGCCTCTGGGTTTTGCAGGCCAAGCGGACCAGCGCTCTGTCTATGTGTTCCTCAAACAGAATTTGTTTCATTTCCCGAACTTTAAACCCTGGAAAGCTGATATCCTAAACACTCTGCACTCTAAACCTCAAAAGCCCCCAGCAACCCCTACAGCGCGAGGCTTGAACACCCTAAACTCTAAATCCTGACAAGCCCAACTCCTAAACACCCTGAGCCGAAAACCCTAAACCATAAACTCTAAACTCCAAACCCCAAACACCAAGCTCACTAAGCCCCAAACCGAACACCCCAAGCGCTTGACCAACAGCCGCAGAAGGTGAGGAGAGTTAGAACCGGAAGTTCCCTACATATATGTATATGTAGATATACACACATACAGAGTATGAGAATGCGTATATGTACATGCACAGATCGAAAAAGATATACGGAGACAGATATGCAGATGTAGACATGGTTCAAGACATAAATATGGAAAGACGGACACCGACTTAAGTATAGATATAGACATAAAGGTATGCACTGCATGTATGCAAGCATGTACGTAGATATGACTGTCTTGTGTATGTATGCTGCACGTATTATATATATATATATATATATATACATATGTATATATATATATATGTACATACGTGCATACGTATACCTATACAGCATACATGTATGTATGTATGTATGCATGTATGCATGTATGTATGTATGTATGTATGTGCATATATATATATATACATAAACACCTACAAATAAACATATGAACATATATATCGTATTTTGGGGTTTTGAGGTGTACAGTCCAGGGATTCGGGGGGGCAGGGTCCAGGATTCTAGACTTGCGGGTTTAGGATTTACAGGTCAGGGGTGTTTGGGGCTTCGACTCGACTACAGAAATACTGCTTATGAGGCTGTGCCTTGAGGGTTCCAGAGTCCCTTCATATGGGTGGTTGTCAAAATTAGGGTCCCTTTTTGGGTACCCTAAATAATAGGTGCCGTACTATATTAGGGACCCAAAAAGGGACCCAATTTTGACAACCACCCATATGTCAATATGTATATATACAGAGAGATGGACAGATAGACTACTAGATGGGTGGTTGTCAAAATTATGCTCCCTTGTTGGGTCCTTAATTGCACCCACTATTTAAAGGTAGACAAAAAGGGACCCTAACTTTGACAACTACCCAGATAGACAGCTAGATAGATAGATAGGGCTTAGGGGAAACAGTACACACATAAACGACTACGTCCGGGTGGCGGTGGAAGCTCACGCGCAGGGGCGATGCTGCAGGGCCGTCCCCAAGGACCAAGGGCTTGTCAGCACCGGCCTGGCTTGTAGGAGGATTTCAGGGTCCGGACATTACCCCGCTCAACCCTAAACCATGCCCGAAAAAGCCAAATAAGATACTGTCAATACTTGATACATTCGGCAAGGCTTCGACATACTGATGGCTTGATGGATGGTTGGAGAGCACCCCAGATACTCCGAACATAGCAGGTTTCGCATGAATTAGCTGCAAAGTGCTCTGCACCGACGGAATCCTCAATACCCACCCCGGAAGGAGAAGCCCAAAAGCAGAAAGGCTCACATGACAACAAAAATCCCATTCGTATCAAGTTCCGGGACTTAGACCTTTCACCGGCTGATGGTTGTCCATGCCACATAACTCAAGCTCGTGCGCACAGCAGTATTTGCCGCTTGGTACGCACCTTCGCACCTTCCCTGCTGGGCACAAGACTGCAGGTCCAAAGACGGGCGATGCTTCTGGTTCCCTCTAAACCCTGATCCCTCCAAAGCTTACGGCAAAGTGGGCTTCAAAACATGTCAAGTTGGAACCAGAAGCTGTATGAGCCCACCTCCGTCGCTTGAGATCTCGGGCCGGGTGTTTGTTTCTATGGACTTCAGTTTAGGGTTTAGGACTTTCGGGCTTTCCGTCGGTTTCAATGCTTCATGGCTGGTAAGGCTTCGGGAGGATTGAAGTTGAAGCATCAGGGTCAGTTAGAATAGGGTTTTGTGGTGTAGTATACTACGACAACAACTCTAAGAAGGGACAGCAAAATAGCGTGCCTGTAGTGGAAGTTTTCGAAAATTCGGAGTACCTCATTTTGATAAGGATCCGACTGTTTAGGGTACTTTGTGGAGTTTCCGAGAATAGGGGACCCTAATACAGTACCCTAAATAGTGGCAGCCTCATTATAAGGACCCAAAAGTAAGGTATCCCTAATTTTCGGAAACTCCCCTTTTAGGGTCCCCGATTCGGAAATTCCTATATCGGGCTTCCGAGCTCCAGGAGGTAGGCGTCCCCATGGCTCGGGACCTGCACCTGCTGCGAAAAAAGGGTGCCGCCAAGCACGCACCATGCCAGCACACCCTGAGGTTTCAGGGTTTAGGGTTTGGAGTTTAGGGCTTTAGGGTTTGTTTTCGAGTATGCCAGTATGACATACTGCAACACAGCAAGCAAGACTGAGACGTGGAAGCCTGCTGTACATTGCCTCCACCCGGCCATGCTAGGACAAGACGAAACAAAGAAGCGCGGCCCAAAATGGCCCTGCCGTTCGGCACCCGCTGGCTGTTATCACTCCACGTGGACCTGTGGTTGTAGCCAGCTCTACCGGAGTCGTCGTGGTGTTGAGGCCTTCCAGGCAAATGCTCTCAGTCGCCGAGGGAGAGTTGAAAGCAACCAGCGAAGCACTTGAAGTGAGACCTTGCGGTGTGGAGACGTTGACGAAGATGGTCACAGCAAAGCTGCTCCTAGCATCGCCAAGCTGCATGCACGACAACTGTCGGGAAGCAGCTTGTTGAGGGGGGAACACCACTTCGAGTGGTCCTTCCTCGCCGTATGTTCGATACCCGAAGGAATATGTCAAAGGCATGTCACTTGAGTTCCAGTTGGGTGCATTAAGGATTCGAGTCGTGTCCATCGTCGCATTCATGGGCAAGACCTCAAGCGTCCCAAGATCCAGATCACCTGGGAGGGGGACATTCTCGCTGCGTACTCAAAACTCTTGGTGGAATTGCAGCTTTGAGGTATGTTTGCTTCCTGCCGTGGCGGGCGTTTCCCTGCGCTGTATCTACTTCTGGGGTTTGGCCGTGAAGAGCCCGAACCATCTTGGAACGCAGCTAACAGACCCCGACAGCAACCCGACCGCCTGATGCCAAGCACGCCAGCCAGAGCAGACACGAGAAGGTCGCCATCGCCAGCTACGTGGCGACTCACAGCCGTGTATACACACTCAGAGCGAATGCAGAATGTGCGTACTGGGTTGTGCTCTGGGAGGTCTACCCTTGAAGCCTTCATCATATTGGCTTCGTTTGACAGCCACAATCTAAGATGTTGGGGGCGGGCATCCGCTAGTACCCTAAACCCTAAACCCGAAACACGATAATCTAAACCCCGAATAATTCGGCAAAAGCTGCGGAAGCGCGGAGAGCTGGAGGCAAGGTGTTGACCCTAAACCTTAAACTCTAGATACCCTAAACCCTCAACCCCATATAACCCTAAACCCTAAACCGCACGGGGCCGGGATAATTGTGGCGTCAGGCACGTCTCACAGCCGGGCCGAGCCTGGAAGACGTGAATCCTGACCTGTCGCAGCTCAGGGTTTAAGGTTCAGGGGTTTAGGGTTCAGGGTTTAGGGTTTAGGGTTCAGGGTTTAGGGTTCAGGGTTTGGGGGTTTAGGGTTCAGGGTTTAGGGTGTAGGGTTTAGGGTTTAGGGTTTGGGGTTCAGGGGTTAGGGTTTAGGGTTTAGGGTTTAGGGTTTGGGGTTTAGGATTTAGGGTTTAGGGTTCAGGGTTTAGGGTTTAGGGTCAGGCATCAACGCACCAAAGCCACGCAATTCACAACCATCCTCTCCGTCTCCCTAAACCCTAAACGCTGTAAACCCCAAACCCGGAACCCTAACCCCATAAACCCTGAACTCTTATATGGCCTAGTATAGCCTCAGTGCCTGAGTTCCAAGTCCCAAACCCTCAAGCGAAAGGAATCAGAATCCCAAACCCCAAACTCTGGGTCCTTGTTAACGAACCGAATTAAAGCTACCACAGTCAGAAAGCCATATCAGTTTACTGTCGACCCCCGTTATGCTGACTTTAACCGTTTCCTGAAACCAGCACCCAGAACCCCATTCATTCTCCAAGCCCAACCTGTGGAATCCTTTCAGGGTTTGGGGTTTAGGGCCCTAGCTCCTACCCTAAACCCGAAACCCCCTAAACCCTAAACCCCCTAAACCCTAAACCCTAAACCCTAAACCTTAAACCCTAAACCCTAAACCCTAAACCCTAAACCTATCCTAAACCCGAAACCCCAAGCCCGAAACTCAAACCCCAAGACTCCGCAGTCCCCAAGCCCAACAGTTTAAATTCTAGGGTTTAGGGTTTAAGGTTTAGGGTTTAGGGTTTAGGGTTTAAGGTTTCGGGTTTAGGGTTTAAGGTTTAGGGTTTAGGGTTTAGGGGGTTTCGGGTTTTGGGTTTAGGGTTTAGGGAATTCTAAAGCCCAAGCTTTGAATCCTCGACCGACCTTCAGTGCATCAGCCAGGGCACGCAG